CCGGTCAAACAGGCATGCAAATGCGCGCATGCTGAACCAAATGGAGAATGAGGTCGACGAGGACGAGGGGGAGGGTGATGGTTGATCGATAACCGAAGGAATCAATCAATCGGTTGTTATTCTGTTTATCGTTCAACAATCGGACGAGAGACCACCACCAAACCTCAGACAGACTGACTGACCTAGCCTATGACCCGATATCGGGTTTGAGTGAATTTGTTGAAAACAAAAAAAGTTCACGACACAAACCTGTGACAAAACAAACACATACACAGTCTAGCCCCATCCGAAACCAACAATACCGGGATTCCAAAAACTGGACTTGATAAGGCTCGAGAAATGGGGGAAGAAAAACAACCGGCCATTTCTCCGTGTATTGTCGAGCTGCGCACTGGAAATGCGCAAAGCCCCGTCCCGTGGAGTGAGAAAACCGACGGGGTCAGTATTTTCACCAACCGTATGACTGACTGTCAACTACTCCCCGTTTTCCCAGTCAGTTCGAACACGTAACTGTTGCTGTGCTGGTGTCGTGTTGGTACTACACTTTATTTACACACGGTAGTCCGAAAAGATTTCCGTCTAAAGCGGAGTTGAATTCAGTGTGAGGTGGCAGGCATAAAACCCCAAACTGGGATAACTAAACAGACACGACAGAGAGACGACAAACGGATATTATTTACCTACCATCTGTTGATTGAAGCAGGAACCAGGCAGGACCAGGCAAATACGGAGATGGAGAACGAAAAAGCGATTTAAATGTGGTTTCATTGAGTCATTCAACCACTGGCGGAAGTGGTGTTTAAAAGATTCGTCTAGTTGTGGTGGTTATCACTCGGATAGTTAATTTCGTACAGAGTGGAATGTGTATAAACTACTAATTAGAACATGTTACCATCAAGAATTCACATCAAACAATGAGGAGGAGGAAGAGTACACGATACTATCCATAAAATGACACGCGAATCTACTCTACTGGTTTGTAGCGGAATGTGAATTCAGATAGCAGATCGACGGAACGACAGATGTACAGTGAGTGCGTTGCTGTCCGAATGCTTATCGCCGTCATAGGTAAGAATTATCCGTAATGGGACTAGCTAGCTACGTATAAGTTTGATGGCTACTCACGCCAAAACATTAGATGAACGCATCCCCATCGACTGACTTGCAGAGACACAAGCACACAAACAAGCGCCCAAAGTACAATCAACTGTGGCAGACCCGAACGAAGAGCAAAATCTGCGCGTGCAAGAAATTGCACAAACCAAGCGATAATCATTGTTGTTTTCCATACAGACTGATTTATTACAAACTACTGTGGTGTGAATAATCTTACAAAAAAAAATACATATGCGTAATGTGACGTTGTGAAACATCGGGACACACCCGGATGCATGTCGCACACGATTTAGCACGACTGGACGTGACCTGTCGTGGTCAACTCGTTTGTTCATCTTACAAGTTAGTGTTCATGTGAGAACCCCATTCACTTTATACACACACACACACACACACACACACATGCATACTTGAATTATCACTTTGTGCAGTTCAATCGAAACAAACAATCAGGTTTCGAGACGCTGGTCATAACCCGTGGCGGTACTGGTCCTTCCATAAACTTTAATCACTCGGTTCGTAAGTGATGTACTACACG